TCAAGACCAGCCTGACCAACATGATGAAACCCCCGTCTCTACTAAAAATACAAAAATTAGCCAGGCGTGGTGGTGCACACTTGTAATCCCAGCTACTCGGGAGGTTGAGGCAGGAGAATCACTTGAACCTGGGAGACGGAGGTTGCAGGGAGCCGAGATCAGGCCTCTGCACTCCAGCCTGGGCGACAGAACAAGACCCTGTCTCAAAAAAAAAAAAAAGAAATTGAAGTTTTTTAAAAAGCACATTAAAAATCAGTGAAGCTTCACAGTAGAGACCTGATTTCCATCATCTACCACAAAGGGCACCGGTGCGTCTGTGGCCTGACCTGGCGGCGGGCCGACATGCGCCGACTTCGGGACCCACAGGCCCAGGTGGCCCCCAGGTGGTCAGGTCTGCTAGGACAGGGAGGCAGAGGCAGCACAGCTGGACACGGGAGGTCGATGACAACTACAAGGACACTCTAAGTTGCACCGCGCTATGTTCCATGTCTTAAAGGGTTCTCATAGTTTCCCTTTACAAGTTAAGAAAGATCCACACACAAACACAACTACAGCACTCCTTATGTCAGATGCTGTGCCTGGCCCGGCACAGCACGTGCCAACCTCACCTCCAGCCACACTGACGTAGGGACAGGGACGGAGGCGTGGAGAAGTCGGTCCCCTTGACCATAGTCTCGACTGGCCAAGCTGGATCAGGACAGGGGTGCTGCTCATGGCCCCTCGGCTCCGTGCCACGTTGCCAGGGTGGGGGACCATGATGCGGCAGATCGAGCCACACCTCCCCCAAGCACTGTCCACTTCCTGGGGCCACTTTGCCTCAGCGGCCCTGCAGGGGGCCCTTTGGTCTCTCATTTAGTGTACACTCCCCTCCCACCCACTGCTGGGAGCCCAGGAAACCTGAGCCTGAGCCTGCAGCAAAAATTCACAGAAGGCCCTGGAACCTGCCTCGTCTGTCCTGCAGAAACACCACAGAAGGCTCCAGAACCTGCCTCGTCTGTCCTGCAGAAACACTGCAAAAGGTCCTAGAACCTGCAGGGGCACTGGCGGGAAGCGTGAGTGTCTGTGGGAGTGGAGCCCCAGCCCACCCTGGGAGCTCACTGTTGTCTCATCTCCACTGTAGATGGACAAGACTCATCCTAGAATCAAGGTCAGAGGGCACGGCAGCAGCCAAGGCCTAACCAGTGACAGCAGGGCTCTGGCCAGGGCTCGGGGGGTCCCCTGGGGCAAGGGATCTCCAGAGAGGAATCTTAGGGCCCCTCCTGGGCACAGTGACAAACAGAGGGCGGGGTGTGAGGAAGCCGACTGGCAACAGCCTCTGTTAACACAAATTCCCAGCAGTTCTTTTCTGGGCCCCAGAGGGAAGGGCAAGGAAGGACAGCGTGGCAGGAAGTGCGTTTCCCACCCGCTCCGGGTGGGGCTGGCCTCAGCTCCTGCTGTCCCTGGTCATGTGGCTCCGATTCTGCCTCATGGCACAGCACAGACAGAGGGAGGAAGCAGCAGAGCCCCCGACGCCACCCTGTGCAGAGCGGCACCCAGCCCCTCTGGGCCACTCCCTGCTTTTCCTGACCACATTGGGGGAAGGGTTAACTCCAGAGCAGCACCCAGCCCCTCTGGGCCACTCCCTGCTTTTCCTGACCACACTGGCAAAAGGGTTAACTCCAACCCGAGCCTCTTATCTGAAGGCTGCGTCCATAAAAGCTCTTCTGTGCCCAGGTCACTGCAAACTTTCTCTGAAAAGCAAAAAGCTTGCTTTCCCGTAAGGAAAATTCTGGGCGGGCAGCCAGTCTCAGGGCCTTTCACCTCTACTCGCCCACAGCAGGTGCAGGCCTGGGGCAGCCGGTGGGCAGCACTGCTAGCCCAGGACGCCTGCCCAGTAACTGAGGGGCTGTGTGGTCATTTCATGGAATCCAGGAGCGAGACGTTAAGGAGCTCCTCTGCCCTCTTCCTGGGGACAGGGCGATCAAGTTCATGTGTGCGCCTCTGAGACAGACAGTCTAGGCTGCATCTCCGCCTACCAAGCTCTCTCATACCAAACGTTTAAGAGGTGCCACGGCAGACCCCCTTTGGAACGTCTTCCAGGCGGTAGGCAGCGGCTGCACCTCTGTTTGGAGACTCAGGACAGCAGGGCCAGCCCTGCCCCCCAGCCCTGGAGTCCTGGACTTCGGAAAGGTAAACTGTCCCGCGTATTATGCAACAATGAGACAAATGACGAACAACCAGACACAGCCACCCAGACGGGCCCCCACTCACGTCCCAGGAAACTGCGTGTAGCACAACGCCATCTCCACAGAGGTACCAAGCAACCCCGAACGGGATGCTGTCTAATCAGC